GGGGGGGGGGGGAGGGGGAGGAAGGCACAACGCGGTGATAGGCAGTAAATAGGTAAAGGCCGGAGGTCGACAACGAAGTAAAGGTTGCCGTGTCTACGAGGAGAAAAATTGCTTCGATTACCGGTACATAACGGATCCATGACAGGCAGGAATCCTCGACGTTCTGTGTGATGATTTTGTACTATATTTAGGATGATAATGAGAGGAAAACAGTGAGCCATAACCGCGTCGCCATTAGCAAAACATCATCCGCAATTAATTAGCTTTTACGCACGGCATATAAATTACACCTCTATTGCATATTTACATTTTTATTCATATTTACATATTTATTTATTATTTAATGATATGCAATGGTATTTCTGCGTAATGCCCACGTAACAGTTAGTAATAACAAGGGGTGAATTGACTACTGTTTGATTTTTTGTGATTTTTGCAAGATGTGAAATATCATTTATTTTGATCACGCGCATCACATTTGCACTGCTCAAACAAAATTATAAAAACAATTATTAATGTAAAAGAATATTCATGTACATAATTCCGTGAATCAATAGTTTTTCATTGGTTACAATCTAATAATACTCTATTATTAAATATGTAAATATTAGGTAAATTCACTGGTATATATATATATATATATACCAGTGAATTTACCTAATATTTACATATTTAATAATAGAGTATTATTAGATTGTAACCAATGAAAAACTATTGATTCACGGAATTATGTACATGAATATTCTTTTACATTAATAATTGTTTTTATAATTTTGTTTGAGCAGTGCAAATGTGATGCGCGTGATCAAAATAAATGATATTTCACATCTTGCAAAAATCACAAAAAATCAAACAGTAGTCAATTCACCCCTTGTTATTACTAACTGTTACGTGGGCATTACGCAGAAATACCATTGCATATCATTAAATAATAAATAAATATGTAAATATGAATAAAAATGTAAATATGCAATAGAGGTGTAATTTATATGCCGTGCGTAAAAGCTAATTAATTGCGGATGATGTTTTGCTAATGGCGACGCGGTTATGGCTCACTGTTTTCCTCTCATTATCATCCTAAATATAGTACAAAATCATCACACAGAACGTCGAGGATTCCTGCCTGTCATGGATCCGTTATGTACCGGTAATCGAAGCAATTTTTCTCCTCGTAGACACGGCAACCTTTACTTCGTTGTCGACCTCCGGCCTTTACCTATTTACTGCCTATCACCGCGTTGTGCCTTCCTCCCCCTCCCCCCCCCCCCCCCCCCCCCCGAAATACTAAATTAAATACTGTCCAATTAGATCCCGTCCGCGTTGACTTTAATTTCTTCGTACGCATATTATTTCTATATCGTATAAATTACTTATAAAAACGTTTGCAATCGCTTCGTATCAATTTACATCTAATTTGATTTAAGTTTCAACTTTAACTTCAGTGTATTCTTAGTTTCAATTGTATTCTGAAACGAGATTCCAAGAAAAACTATATTGATCTGATAATAAGTAAACTATCATGAGTCTTTCAAGCAATCACTTTCGCATGTAAAATCATTTAACCTCGTTCTAAACTTAATTTTATGTAAAGAGGACAAATTCAGAAATTTACGATCAATGTATATCTCTTAATGATTTACTATGACATCTCAAAGATTCAACTATCACATTCTAACTTGAATGGATAGTAAAAAATAATTTTTTTACGTCATTTTTAAAATATGCGAGTGCAAAATAAGAAAAACTAATGTGTTTCATAATTCTCTTCTACAAAATATAACTTTTGTTGATCAAGAATGTAAAATTGAAGATTTTAACTTTTTGAATATTTTGTTGAAAGTTTTAATTTTTCTACATTGACAATTAGAGAAAAAGATAATAGCTATTGGTAGCAACTATCTAAGTTTTATAAGTAGAATTAATATACATATATAGTTAAATAATTTATTTTATATTATAGTTATTGCAACTATAAAATAATTTATTTAATTACACTTACACAGTAATTCTTACTTAATAAACTATCTACCTGAAACTTATACAATTATTGTTTATATAATTGCTATCACTATGCTTTTCTCTGATTGTGAGTATACTCGAGATTTAATATATATTTTGCGATAATTCATTCGTATAAAGTATTCGAAATATATATGTAATAACGGAAAATAAATATATAATAATAATATATAATAACGGAAATATATCAACAAACTGTACTTTTGGCATTTTTGTAAATTCTTTTAAATAATAAAAAAATCTTTGATTCCTGTTAGGATTGTCCAATCAGAATTCGGAAATGAGACACTTGGGTTGCACTTATTATTTGTGAAAAATAATTTGAACTGCATTAGTAGAATGTCAAGCTGACAGTATCATGCTAATTGAAACATCATTCCTGATTTCAGACGAATATGCACGCGTCTTTTCCATACGACGGCGGACGCAGTAGTGGTGGAGGCGGCGGTGGCGGAGGCGGCGGCGGCGGCGGTGGTGGCGGCGGTGGAAGGGGCGTCGAGTATGGCGCCGTACGTCGTCCTGACGCCCTCCTACCGCCTCCGGGCCTCGACCAGACCGACCTCGTTCTACACAGCAGCCTCGTTGACGACCCCCAGGTGAGCGACGATGTACGTAATCGCAACATATTTTCTCTATTATCATCCCTTGACGCATCTCTTTTGATGACGTTCTTGCCCGCTGAGGATAACACGCGGGATGTTTCCGCAAACGGAAGCGTTGTGGTTACTGAAGATCTGCTTCGAAATTACGTACATTTTGCGCGGGGCGATTTTTGACCATAGCTTTGCATTCATGACGTTTAAAGCGTCTTGTCAGTTTTGGAGATATA